CTGACAGCTTCTACAGAATGCAGATGACGAGAGCGTGAGGCAGTGAAATTTAAAGAGAAAGTGAGAGAGATGGCGGCGAGAGGAAGAGAGGAGAAAGAAGAAAGAAGAAAGGAGGAGTAGGAGGAGCACACACTATCAGGAACGGAAGAAGGAAGGATTCATATTTAATAACGTGGATGAGAACATAGACAGGTAAATTCTTCTGGCCTCATATGGTATCTCACTATCATTTGGATTATCATTATTATTTTCTATTGCCCAAAGCATGCTAAGGCGCAAAATTTGAGCAATAGGGTAATGGGTAATGAATGTGTGTAGCTGGCGCCAATATGGAGTCTTATTTACTAGATACTAACCTACAAAATAACGGGTCAAACGGCGGCGGCGCTGGATGAACGGTTGGGATGATCATGATGGGATGGGGGGCAATTGGGAATGGTACATGTAAGTACATACGGTACAAGTAGTAGGTATGGGATGGATTGAATCGATGGATGGATGGATGGGGGGAGGGATGTTGATGGGGCCAAAAAAGTGGTTGGGCTGGCTACTTTACAGTTAAGCACCTACAAATGGGAGCTCTTGACGCAGGTCTGGTGAACTTCTCTTTCGTTCCCTCCTCTCCACTCGACGGAGAAGATTTTCTACAGTCACTCTAATAGCGAGCCCATGCAGCTTCCTGCTTTCTTTTCAATCCTTGTTCGTTCCGCCATTCCTACCACATGAATCCCTAATCACCCGGTATTTTACGACGAGACTCAGAAGCCATATCGCCTACCTACCGCCTGAGGGCACCAAGCTTGCGATCGCCTTCTACTGTCTGATCCAGTCCCGGTCCCAAGTGCCATGTATGCAGCTCAAGATGGTAGGTACTTTCCTGTAGTCGTGTTCAAGAGCGAGGTTTAAAAAGCCAAAGTCCGATGTTCAGCAAATGTGTATCAAAAAAAACTCATCTTGCAGGCACTGGCAGAGTGTCCGTGCGGAATCGCTCTTGCTCCTCTACGGCAGGGGAACAGTGAAAAAAAGAAATGAAAGAAAAAAAATGAAAAAATATCAGCAAGCCATGGCATTGCTTGCTAGGTTCCCTCTGTGGAAAGGAAAAGCAAAGGAAACTGAGATGCATGTCAAAAAAAAATCACCCTTCTCCAATGCTTCCATTCCTGTGGAACCCAAAAATATGTCGCACATTCTCGAAAGGAAAAAAAAAAAACGTTAGGTGGGTGTGTGGAAGGGTCTTGTCGCCCATGGCCAGCCCATGGTACTCAAACTGTCGGTATGTACGGAATATATGGTAGGTATGGATTTCTCGAATCTCAACGTGCCAGACCTCACCCCTATCGATCAATCAGGCGCTGAATCAAGTCCCTACTTACATGTGTTCGTCTAGAAACCAATTGACCGAAGATGTGGCCTCGATCAGATCGGCAACATTCGCCTCGCTGCCACAGATAATTTAGAGTAATTACCGGACCAAAGATGTCGCAAGCGGGGAATGTGCCCGTGCCCGTGTCCGAGTCGACATCCGATTGACTGAGGTCAAGATATGTAAACAGTCTAGGTATCCAAGGGTTCACAAAGGGTTCACAAAGGGCAAACAACGGAAATTTTTCTTCCCTCGCCTATGCGGAATCGCCCACAGCCGAATTCGCGAACCAGATCTCAAAGCAACCGCGCGGTTGTCACTCACACTAGTACTCTACTCTGCCTCTAATATCAGACGTAGCATGGCTGCCTACATGATGCTTTGCTCTGTTATTATCTTAACCGAACGTTTTACTTCTAATTTCACTTCTTTCCTTTTCTTGCCTCAACTCTTCAAGCGCTCTAAGACCTAGCCAGGGCGCGTGCCGTTGAGAGCTTGTCACGCACTGTGCACTGTGCACTCGCTGCACAGGAATATTCGTGGGATTTTCAGCCTCTGAAGTTCTTGGCGTAATTACCCTATCAGGGTCAACTATTAGTAAAGTTGAGAAACATCTGCCTGATAGTTCTCGAAAAACCCTCGAATCTTCTATGCCTCGGCTTATTTCTAACGGTATAGGGAGATCTGATTGCATGCACACACTCTACCAATCGATATATCCATGTAGCCTACGATGCCTAATCGATATTTGGGATATTGAATTTGCGATAAATTGTTCTACCAATGGAAGGAAATTATTTCGGGGGGGATACAGAGTCTTCCAACGCCTTCCCTAGACCATGATAGAGTACCTAGGCGAGCGTTTAGCTGACGGGCAAGACCGTTGGAGTCTAGGTGAAGAACAGGGGATCACATACATGTAGCTAGAAAATCCATCCTCAAGTCGATGTCAACACTAAGGCGGAGTTGTTATCCGTGAAATTCGATATGCATCTTTGATCTCCGTAGAGCTAGAAATAGAAGTTGCCATAGCCTTTACGGCCAAGTTTCGTTGTTTTCTTGAGCAGGGACAAGAGGAACTATATGTAATCTATACATGTAGTTTAGGGTATCGCTTTCTAGAAGCTAGAATCCTCTGCGCATATGTATCAAATGATCGGTTGTTGGCTACTTTGAACTGTGACCATGCCGTCTAATGTCGCGGTTATCATTTGTAGTTGTCTAGCTAGGAATGACATTCTTCACTCTCCCCTCCTTTCTTCTAGCTCCATCTAGAGTAGCTCCCTTCGATCTTAAGATCTTGAGCTTCTAGGCCCTAGTCAAATGAGGTACTAAGCACTCTAGCTCTACTCTATACTTGAGATAATTCTTCATGTCCCAGGGAGTTCATGTAATATATTTCCATTAGTTACGGGAATAGGCTGATTCTTATAATTAATTGTCCTGGGTTGTACGATGTTGATTTCGCCCCCAAATTAATTAACGGCCCTCCCGTATGCCCCGCAAGATGCTCCTGGAAAAGGGTTCAAGTACAGGACTTGGCGCAAGCCTTGTGTACTCTCTATCACGTGATAGGAACCGCGGCAGCTGAGTAATCCGCACGCGATCTGACCACCCTTAATGACACCTTGAACTTCAAGATCATGAAGGCTATGTGAACTACCTCTACCATCAATTCCCAGAAGAAGAAACTTAGAAAGAGATCATGTCGGATAACATATCAGCCTTTATTCAACAAGCTCCACCGGTCAGCAGGTAAGTTTGCAATCTTGTCATTTTCCCTGCGTCGCGTCGACGCAAGTGGATCAAAGCTCACGTTGTGATCCTAGAACCCTCGCCGGGGCAGCTTTCCTCCTCTCGTTTGCCTCCCAGGCACTGGGTCTGATACACCCTAGATTTCTTGTGTACCATGCGCCGTTGGTGTGGAAACTATCGAGGCCTGAACTATGGCGGCCGTTGACTTCGTTCTTCCTGACGAGCCCAAAACTGGTATGTAGGTCCTACATTCAAGAGTTTAGCCACGGACATATGTGCTGACTCAAGCTTCAGGGAATCATTATGGATACATTTTTTCGTGAGTAGATACTATTAAGTTTGAATACGAAAGTTCAGAGAATTGGAGCGCTTCGTAATCTGACTTTAAGAATTTGTGGGGGTTTACAGTTTATAGATATGCTAGCGAGTGAGTAATCCTGCTGGACCATTCTTCGAGAATATATACTGAAGGTTTTTACAGCTGTGAAAGAACCAAATTTACACGACCAGGTGACTTTCTAGTGTTTCTGATGTTTTGCGGGTCGGTGATAGTGGTAAGTAGACACCTACATTGTACCAACGGTCTCTAGGAGAGTCTTGATTCCTAATATCTGAGATGTGAGGAAAAGGCTCTCAACTCCGCCTTCATTGGCGGTATGGTATTCTGCCAAGCCCTCATCCTAGCCCTCGCATACTACTGGACCGCTCTCGAGGACAGTAGCAAAAAAGTCAGCTTCTTCATCGCCACCTTCCCTGTCAAGTTCCTACCCCTTGTCATGCTCGCCATGACTTTCGTTCAGGCCGGCACTGGTGCAGCACTTGTCGAAGCAACTGGTCTTGTTGCAGCACATCTTTACCTCTTCCTTACGGATATCTACCCCAGACTCGGGGGCGGGCGAAACTTCATCGTCACTCCAAACTGGATACATGCGCTTTTTGACACTCCGGGCGATAATACTTCAGGACCAAGGCCGAGGGCCCCAACAGGCCCCTCTATCAGGCCGGTGCCAACTGCACCGGGGACAGCTGCCTCAGGTAGGGGGATCTTTGCACCGGCCAATAGTCAGTGGACACATCGTGGGCAGGGACACAGGCTTGGAAGTTAGGCTTGGGTTTTCTGCAGTTACACGAGGGGTCAAAGTATGGGTTCGAGAAAATATAACATATCTGGACCTGATATTTTTGTCTGAAGAATCCTGAGTTGGTGATTTGAAGATGTTTTTTTGTATTTTTAGTTAGAAATGGCAAAGCAGGAGTTACTAAGGTTTAACTACTTACCATTTTTCCAACTGTACCTACACATAGGGAATATGTAACCCAGGTTTTTGATATTGCTCGAGCTATAACTTTGAAAGATGTGAACCATAAGAGCATCTGAATGATAATCTCTCTTACTAGTGATTCGCGTCATGAACTATCACTCGGACATTCTGGCTAGCTCGACCAAATTCCTCATCAACCCCCTCAATCCCTGTAGATCATCAGATTTAATATTTAAATTAGATCCACATGTATATAGGCACGAGGATTTATGTGTATCGTAGACAACCAAAACCGACATCTTTCTCCTCAATAGTGTCACCAGAAATCACTCGTATCATACCATTAGTTACAGGTGCAACGTACTTAACTTATACTATAGTCCACGAGATATTAAAGCTCGGAGCCTCACTTCAAAGTGTAGGTCTATGAGGTAAACCCTCACTATTTACAACATACCTATATTCATCTATTGAGAACAGCCAAAGTGACAAGTCAACATATCCGTTTATTAGAGCAATAAAGTAGTAGGCTTCCTATCTCGGATACCTGCAATCTGCTAGCTAGCTAAAAAAAACCATAGATACTTCACCTCCAACCCCCCCATGGCCCAGCCAAATAATTAACCCTCCCAAGTAATCCTGCCGCGCTGCAATGCCTGCCATGCCTCCTTCAACTCATGGTACCCCATCACATCCTCCGGGTCCATCAGGCCCTTTGGGCGCTTGTTCTTGTAGGCATTCAAGTGGCCCAGCCCGCCCTTTGTCAAGCGCGTCAGCCTTGCTGAGTTTGGGTTGTCCTCGTACCGGGTGTTGATCTGGACATCCCAGAGGGCGACGATTGTGCCTGGTTCGGGTTGGAACTCGGTGCAGAGCTCGCCCCAGACGCTGATTATGGTCTTGCGGTCGTTGGAGGACTGGTCCCAGAGGTACCAGTCTTGCTTGGGCTGTTTGGCGTTAGTTTGAATAGTGTGCTAGGGTGGAGAGGACTTTGGGGGTTATATACGATTGATTTACTGTCGGGGCGTTTCCGCCTCTCTAGTACGATAACGAGAAAATCTGGACGACGGTGTGAGTGAGTATCCTTGTGTCAAACTTTCGACGCTGTATGAGGGGAAGGGAGGGGACGTACTAGCGTTTCGCATATTCTTGCTTGCCAGGTTGTTTAGCATTGTTCTTTTTATGTTGATCATGTCCTCTGTTAGTTTGGCGCTGGATATGAGCCAGATATTTGGTACGGTGATCGGGGGCCATTGGAGAGCTGGGACGGCGATGCTGATAACATTATTTGGGCCACTGGCGGCGGTACTTGAGTTTTTGACGGCAATACTATCGTCATTGACTACTGTACTTAAGCCATTGGCGATAGTACTTGGGTCCTTGACAGTCGTTGGGCCATTGACAACAGTTGGGCCGCCATTAACGATAGCTCTTGGGCCATTGACGGCAGTATTTGGCCCATTGATAGCAATATTCGAGCTATTGACACCATTCGAGCCATTGGCAACAGTCGAACCATTGACAGCAGCACTCGGGCCATTAGAAACAGTCGACCGGGCATTAACAACCGCACACGGGATTGGATATATCCACACCAACCCCACAAAGCTACACACCACATTGTCAACCTCAAAACACCTACACAACTACTACAGCAGCATACATACCTCGTACCGCCACTCGGATGCACACCCAACACGTATCGCCGCACTTCAATGACTTGCCCGACCTTGATGGTCCCGTTGTGCACAAACTCGTCGAATTTGGTGCTGACGAAATAGGCTGTCCGCACGTACCTTGGTTAGTATCTTTTCTGGCTAGCTGTAGCTGATATTGATAGTGATCGAGGGGCGGTTGGGCTTCATGTGAATCATTGCCAATTGGGGAAATAAAACTTTCTTCTTCTTTCTCTTTTTTGGCAATTGCATTCTCCAGCAACACAGACATATCTCTACCCTCCACCCAGAACCCAACACCCCAGCTCTCCGCCCCCAAAAAACATTCCTCCAGAAAGTACAAAAGAAGTACTAACCGTGCACAAACTCCACCCCGTCAGAAAGCCTCATCCTGAAATTGACGCCCACGCCCACAATCGGCCGCAGCCGCACGAGCTTCAGATAGACATACGGCAGCGGGTTGATCTTCTTCGGCGGCGTGTGGCCCAGGTCCGCGCTGGGGGCGAGCACCCGCTCAATGGGCGTCAGTGGCGGGGGGTAGGGTAGTGCCATTTTAGTTAGATATTGGGGTGATATCTGAACGGCTTTTTAGGGTTTATGACTAAAGTAAAGCCTGTTCGTTGAGAAGCTTCTATAGATAATTGGCCAACTTGGGTTGGGTTTGGAGGTTAATTTCTTGGCCGCAGAGAATGGGGGCTCTCTGGACGGCCGGGCCTGGGGTGCGGTGCGTGGTGCGGGCAATTGTTAGTGGATTAATAGTAGGTGAGACGCTCTCGAGTGTTTGAGTGTTGTGCAGGGGGGCGAGTACTAGTGAGTAGGTTGGATCCACTGCGCGGCTTAGTAACGGACGCTCTCGGCGTAAAAAAGTAATTATTATAGTAGTCGACTCTAATACTGCAATGTAGGTATGTACATGTGGTGATGACCATTGTGATCAGTAGGACTCTCGAGATGCCGTTTTGCTGGTCAATCCGTGCTTCTTGAAGTGATAGTTGATTATATTGGCGACTAATAAGGCAATGGCTGTTCTAATAAAAAAAAGGGACTTTTGATCATTGAAACATTTACAGCTATTTACATTATCAAGACAAGAGGCATAACAGATTCTACATATCCGTCTGCCAATCATGCTCCAATTGCGCCCTATTCTTCCTCGCATTCTGCGCCTGGAACCACTTCTTCTCAAAGCCATTCCCTCTATCGACCCCATCCCACCGATGCCCCGGCAGGATATGATATCTATTCGGCGGTGCGGCGCCCTTATACAGCGGCCGCCCCGTCTTACTCAGTCCCTTCTTCTTATTCGTCAAGAACGCCGCCGCCGGATCGTTCCACAGCTCCTTCTCCTTCATCTCCTCATTGAGCTCCTTATCATCCGCATACCGCGCCAGCGTCATATACTTTGCCTCCTCCAGCTCCTTCTTGCGCTCCTCGCGCTGCACCGCCTGCAGCTCGCCCTTGTTCTGCTCCACAACCTGCCGCTTCTTGGCCTCCTCCTCCTCGAGCTTCTTGCGCGCCTCCTGCCGCGCCATGGCAATGTTGATGATGCGCCCCGACGCATCACGGTAGATTGTCTCCTGGCCCTTACCGGTCTCGCTCGGGTCCTGCGAGTTGAAGCGCGCGAGCTCGGCTTTCCGCTGCCGCTCGAGCTGCGCCGTCACCTGCGCAGCCGTCTGGAGGCCCGCGTGCGCGCCGCTAGACATCTTCTGCATGGACTTGTCGTCGGCGCCGACGATCGCGGGCTGGTCGTCCAGGTCGTCGGCTTGCGGCAGCGCCTGCGCGATGATGGCGTCGGCGGCGGCGGTCTCGGCGGCGTCAGCGGCTGCGGCGTCGGCGTCGACGGAGGTCCAGTTGGACTTTGTGGTGCGGCGGAAGGCTTTGGTTGTTTCGCCGACTGTGTTCGTGAGGTCAGTATTGCTTCAATTCTTTGCCATTCAGGTTTTTTTTTTTGGGGGGGGGGGGTTATTTTGGGAGTTTGGGGGTTTTGTGGCGGGGAGGCGTACTGGTCACAGGGCCGTCGTCATCGTCGTCGTCTTTGCCTTGGTCCCAGCCCAGGGCATCGTCGTCGGCGATTATCACGCCGCCCTCCTGCTGGGCCTTTCTTTTTCGCTTCTTTGACTTTTTCTTGTCTGGCTCGTCCTTTGTGAGGTATTTCTGGGCGAGGTATGTGGAGAGGGACATTACTATTGGGTGCTTGTTGGAGAGAGAGGGAGGTTGTGCTGGGTGAAGAAGAAGAAGCTATTCTATTCCTCACACCTCGCGATGATATCGAATCGAGCCGAAGAAAGGGACAGCCAGACTGTGGACAGCCCGCATCCCTGCAATGGCCAGCCGCTGATCGATGCCCGCATTCGGCGCATGCGAGCGCTGCAGTGCTGCCACGTGATTGCGCTGATTGGCTGCTGCCAAGACGCTCGTGCTACCAGAGCTCCCGCCGCCGCGTTGCTAAGAACAGCGGCAGAGGGGCAGAGAGACACTCAGACAGAGACAGACAGACACAACTCCACTCACCTCCCTCGCTCGCTCGTCTCCAAGTAGAAGTAGATGCTCCCAGATCTGCCCACACCCACATACATACTCTAGAGTAGCCCAGAATGGCACGGACAGACGAGGCAGAGGCCTTCGTTGTGGGCGTTTATATGGCTGTCCAGGTATGTACCTACCTCGTACCCACCTCGTACCTACCTAGAGTAGGTGATAGATGGATATGGATTCTCCCCCCCCCCAAATTCCCATTCAGAAATCAGAATAGCTCAAACTCAGTGGTGAAAATACCTCCCCCCCAAAGCCAGCTGAGCTGAGATGATGCGGTGAGCCGAATAGGAAATCCCTCACGGTAAAGTCACTTCGTATGGTCACATTGCATACTTGATAGGGAAGCGTAAGACAGCCCTTTCTGTGTTGTGTTTTGGTTTTTGGTTTGTTTCCGTCGTACGTACGGGTTACAGGTATCTACATGTATCTTTGTTTCGATACAAGAGAAGGCCTCACTCGGGTTTCATGCGTAGAGGTGAAGAAAGAAGAGTGCAGTGTAGCTGATGTAGCTCCCACACGGGCACCCAGCCCAATGTCCAAGGTAAACAACGTCCCTCATTCTGGAAACCCGGAAAGAAGGAAAAAAGAGCCTAGCAGCACTCGAAGGAAGGATCTCGAAAGCTTCCATTTCAACCTCCCACTTCTTCCTTCGATCCTTCCACCCACCGGGTATGGATGGTCCATGGCTCTAACCGGTCACAGACAGGTCGGTCAAGCTCTCAAGCACCTCCCAAGCAGCAACAACAACGACGCTCAGGGTAATACCGTCGTCTTCCACAACGGCAATGTTCCGTGGCAGAGGGTCATATCGTCGAATGGGGTAATTCCCATCAGGTAAAGCCTTCTCTCTTTCCCTTTCTCTCTCTCTCTTTCTCTTTATTTCTCGATCTCTCTTTTGCAAAACAGCCTCATTTACATACTTGCACTTTACAACAACAAAAAAATGCTTTTTCCGGCTTCCGTTTGTTTTGGATTTTATCCGTTATTTGCATTTGCATTTGCTTGCTGTTTCTGTTCCGCTGTGTTGTTTTTCTTTGTTTGGAACCAAAAGTGAGAGAGAGTAGTAGTACTGAGTGAGTGATTGACCGAAAAAAAAAAAAAAAAAGGGATGACCCTACCGCCGCAGCACGTCATGCACAGGCTCTGCGCAGCGAGGGAGTAACTGTGACGACACGGGCAGGGGGAGCGCTTCACGTGGACCTGGATGGCTTTGGATGGTTTCCTGGCAGCCTGCCCTCCGATGGCTCAGAGTATGGTGACGGCGATGACTGAAACAACAAAGCCGGAGTCATGGTTTTTTTACATATTGGATATTGGAGATACTTGGTGATTGATATGGGGTAGCTGCTAGGGTAGGGTAGAATGGTAGGGGTACTCTATGGGATACAGAGTAAAGTATGGGGGAGTCACTGAAGCTGGTGAATGGGTAATTTGTAAACAAGGCTCAGGCTGGCTTCCATGACTGAGACTCTCAGATGGATGGCATGGATAGATGGATGGATGGATGCGTGTGTACCCGGCAGCTGCTAGGTATTGCTACATGTATTGCTATTATGAGGATGAGCCACAGTGAGGCTCGGTTAATTTCGTTCCTTTCGTTCCTACGTCACCTGGGCAGCCAAAGAACCAAAGAAGTAGCAGCAGGTAGGCAGGCAAGAAGGTGGATGTAGATTAGGGGTACATACATACATGCAACAAATATGTAGGCACGGATTTTGTTTCTATCTGCTCATACTCTATCTCTACAGTGTCTATCTGTCTACCCGTCTATCCCATTAGCTGCTTATCGCAAGAGTGGGATCGAGGGTTGAAAAAACGTTTCACGACCCCCCCCGGATTCATGAAAAGCAAATTTCCAGGTTTTTGTTTTGGAAACAGAATAGATATGAAAGGGAAAGTTCCAAGTTTCGTAGCTCCTCGTATCTAGCCTACTATCTAGTATCTACTACTACTACCAAAACTGTATTGTAGGTAGCGTAGGTTAGAGTAGGTATGATACATGTAGTTATCTACGCGCCGCCCGTTATGTGCCCCCCATATAGAACAATCACATCTGGATTCGGACTATCTATTCCACTCTGCCAGCCCGGACGGGTGTTTATCTCTCTCAGCCCTCCCCATTCACTCACTGAGGCACGGGCGATACCGCGACGGGATAAGGCTCTGTATGTATGAGAGGTAGCACTGTGATAACGAAACTCAAGGATAGGGGACGGATGGATAGCTAGAGAATGAGGGAGAATTGATAACCACGGTTTCTCGATCCAAACCCCCCCCCTAAACTAACCTATTTTTCCCGCTGCTGCTTGTTGTAGTGGCTGGAACTTGGGGGGGGAAGGGGGGGGGGGGGGGGTGTGGTGGGAGATTGGAATGGTTTGGGGGTTTCGTTCATTCATTCATACATTCACATTCATTCTCCCTAGATAGCTCTCTAGCTCGGCTCCTCCTCGGTTTGGAGATGGAGGGGGGGGGGCGTGCACCCTACCGGTACTACTACTGCTCTACACTTAGCTACAACTTACATGTATGTAGTGTAGGTGCATGAGCTCTACTCCAGAAGGTTTTTGTATGGTGGGGAGTTAGTGATGTTAGCACTTGGTTGCATTACTGGCGGAGAGGATGAGGTAGCTGGCTGGCAAGCTGGGTAGCCACGGTATTGAGCGCTGGCCAGCCAGGTGCTCTGTAGGCGTCATTTGCTGGTTTGCTGAGGCTGGATGGGATGTGTGCTGAAACGAGACAAACGAGACAAGGGAGCGCAAGGGAGCAGCAACAAAAAAGCTACATAGAAGGTTGAAGTAACATTAACCCCCAACAGAATAATAGAGTGTAGCAATAATAATAACGAAGCTGGGGAAACACAACCCTAGGTAGGCCTCCGACCTCCCCCCCCGTCCCCTTGTGCCCCCCGATTTACATTACAACAATAGCAATAGAATGTAGAGTCATGGTCACAAAAGATGGCTGTGAAGAGTGAGTGGGGGGATGGTCAAATGCGATTGCATAGACGGATGGCATGGGAAAGTATGATTGTAGTATGGATGGATGGGTGGATGAATGATGATGATGTATGTAAGCATGAATGTATGATACAGCTTGGTGATAACATTTCAAGTAAGGCCTGCCTCCTGCTGCTCCTGACTGACTCTCGCTCTCTCCGGAAACGCTAGCTCAAGTCAAGTCAAGTAGCTGCCAGCTGCTCCACCGAAACCTACTTACCTATCTGCCTGAGCTATAAAGAGCTATCGTGTTAGGTACCACCCTTTCCGCACCTGCTCCCTATATATCTGGCCCTTCCCGAAACTCATCTTCCTTCTTCTTCTCCCTCTTCCCTCGCCTACTGCCTGCTGCCTACAGCTGCTCTCACTGCTTATACTTGTAACTGTAACTCCTCCTCCTCACACTCATCACTATCACCAAGCTTCCTCTTCTCCCTCACAGCCTAATTCATTCGTTGTCGTCGTCTTCGTTGTCGCCAGTCCTTCACCAACCCAAGCCCGTTCATCACCAAATCAGCCGCAATACCCTCTCCCTCAATTCCAATCCCATCCTCTAAATCCAACACCATGGCTCTCACCAACTCCATCGTTCAGTCCACCGGCGACCTTAGAAGCGCAGCCGTTGAACAGCGCCGCAGCAAAGAGGTGAGTCATACAAGTCATTCCACTCCCCGGTCAAGTGAACCATAATGCTGATAAACATCCTCCTCCAGCGTCGTGTCAAGTACCGAAACGTCAATGTAGCCCTCCTCGGTCAGCCGCAGCACCCGTCATTCACAAACAAGAAATTAGGTGCTCCCTGCTGGAATGATAAGAACAAGTAAGTATTCCTGACTTTGTTTATTTCACCCGTAACAACCCGTTACAACCCTTAAATACCCGCCCCCCGAAACTATGTCCGTTCTTTGTGTTGCTCCAGAGTTGAAATTCTGACTCATTTTCCTTTAGATTCAAGATGACCCGTGACCCTAGTCTCGTGAAGGTCTGCCACTGCTACAGCTGCCGAGGCTGGAACACCAAGGAACTTGCCAAAAAGAGAGCCGCCCGCAAGTTGTACTTTGATGATGAGATTTGCACAGCACGAACCAACCCTCTGACCCCTTCGGCGGCGTTGGAAGACCGTTGGGAAGATTCATCGTCGGATAACGACTCTATTGCCGGTATCGCGTACTCCTATGACCAGTCCGGACCACGTGCCGGAACCGACACCCTTAGTTATGCCGTAACAGAGGCTGTTAAGAAGTTTGAGCACAAGGAGTTGACGACTCTGATCAAGAACGAGTATGAAGTCGTTGATTATGAGGACTCTGACGAGGAGTTTGAGCTGGTTTAAAGCTCAAACTCGTTGGTATAGCTCGGAACAGCTGCGTATTATCTAGTGACGTAGTTTGTTCGTGGGGGTTGTGTTCGGCTTAATAGCATGTCGAACGCCCTGCCGAGTTTCCGCCAGCGATGTTTTTTTATCCCCTTCTTTTCGCTTGAGATGATTATTCTTCTTCTGCGGTTGGGCTGTTTAATTAGTTTTGTTATGTTTGTGTTATTAGTACTTTTATCGGTCGATCTGCAAGTGGAGTTTTTTGTTGTGTTTTTTTCCCTCTTTTTTTTTTCCTTTTCCTTTTCGCTTTTGGCGGGGTATCGGGGATATACTGCTTAGTGCAAAGGATCTGAGTATTTTACACCTTTTTCTCGATGGTTTCTTTCGGTTTGGCATGGCGGGCGAGCCAGGGACGGTGTTTGTTGCGTTTCTTTGCATGATGATGGCAGGTGTCTTTTTTTGCGGGACTTGTTACTCTACTACTTTTAGTTTTGGCACTGGATTGGATTTGTGCGCGGGCGGTGCGGTGGACAAGAAGCAGTCATGTTACACAAGCCTGCTTCTTTCAGGAGGTGCATGAGCGGGAGGGAGGGAGACTGAGAAGACTAAGATACCTTTTATAGAGACGAAACAGAATGAAATAACAGATGGCAGCATGCGTGCTGCCATTATAGAAGGGAATTATTTGGAGTCTTTGTTTGCTGTGAATTTGTGAATTTGTGAGGTTTCCTGCGACTTTTAGCAACCTTGTGGGAGCTCATGTTTTGGCCCTCTGTTTTGCCAGTTTTGCCTAACTACGAGAAACGGGGTTTGAAGCTCTGGAGCTTTGCCATGCGGAATAATGCTATGGAAGTGTTTTATAGATACCACTTGAGCTTTTAGTAGAGCCCTTTCCAGCAGATATTGGCCCTTTCAGTACTGTAGCTTGAATCTTTTCGAGAAGAAAAAAAAAAAAGGTCAAACAGCCACGTATCTTCCCCACAGCCGCGATAAGCGCCTCTCACTACCCAAGACCCTCACCACATACAATCCCAACCGAGCCGCATCATATCATCTCTCTCAATTATCACGATCCCCAAAATCCCATCCCCTACAAAAAAAAATCAAAAATGCGCGCATTCTCGCTCCTGCTGCCAGTGCTGTCCCTCCTCTCGGCCACTGCAAACGCGATAACCACGCACATGTACACGCACACCCTAACGCTGCACCAATGGCCGCTCGGCGCGCCCCATCCGACGATCCTGGGGAAGGTCTCGTATAACCCGGCGACGGGCGAGGGCGGGTTCGACGTTGCGGAGCATAAGGGGGCGTGGGCGGAGAGTGGGGAGGAGGAGGAGGTTCGGGTGGGCGTGTGGAATGGGGAGACGTGGTTCTTTGGGTGTGTGGTTGTTGGTGTGAGTATTGCTCTGTGGGTGTGTGGGGAGTGGATGGAGTGGATGCTAATGTGCTGGGTGGCTACTGTAGAAAATGTTGAAGCATCCGGAGAATGCGGAGATTACCGTTAGAGTTGATGATATGGGGAAGGCGTGGCATGTGCAGTACAAGGCCGGCGATGAAGCTGTATGTTGGCCATTGTGTCCTGCTGGGTGGGCTGTATGGATTTGGATTGGATTGTTGGCTAACCTGGGCATTGATTGTATAGTCTTCCTCGCCCACTGTGCGCATCTTGACGCAGGCGCCGGGCCCGCAGCCTGCGCTGAATAAGCCGATTGTTTTGACGCCTGATGGCAAGATTCCGGTGCCGGAGGTGGAGAAGACATTCTTGCAGAAGTGAGTTTTCCGCCGCTGTGTTCTGTGGCTGCGGTTGTGTGGGTGTGGGTGCTAATGCGTGCTTGCGATGTATAGGTACTGGTGGGTGTTGCTCGGAGCGACACTGCTTATCATGACTAGTGGTGGTGGCGCGGAGTAGATGGGGAGTAGATGGTTCTGTGTGTTTGTGTGTTTGTGTGGCTATGGGCTAGAAACGGATAGTAATGCTAGTAATAGATATCATTAGGCACGAATTGGCCGTGGTTCTAGATTGTGTGTTTTGTGATGATATTTCTAAAAGCCAAGGATCGACTAAAAAGCTATATAGCCTCGGGGGCCATGATCATTGACCGCCTTTAGCTGTGATCTGGAATCGAGTCATATTTCACAATGTCCCCATGAGTACAGCCGGGGCCTCCCACATTGATTTACTTTTGCCTTCACCGCTGTGGGTGCTCATTCAGCAGTACAGCCAGAAATAACAGCTGTCTGAAGATAGGAAAATCAACATGTCCCGTTGAATATTGGATCATCAATTATCACTCGCTCATATTTGCTCACGATGCTTGGCCCAATTTAGGGTCCCCAGGACCAACCATCCATCACAGGAGCTTCCTTTCCGGTAAAGCTTGTAAGTCTCCTTGATTTCAAGCTTGTTTTCTAAATCCTAGTCTGGTAAATGGAACTAGAGGCTGGCCAGACGGCACGGCGGCTAGTCGATCCCCATGGTAGTCCCGTCTTAATATAAGACTCAAACACATGAGACTGAACCTAGTATGAGTTGGGCCTGCTCAATTTTGCTTTTTATCAGGCTCAAGCCTACTAAGAATTAATAATATCAGTAATGCCAAGTGATATACATACTACAGGTATGTAGTTAAAGGCCAAGGTCAAAGGTCGTTCAGAATTCTCCTTCCTAAGGTTTCCTCCAATTTCAATAAGGTTCAAGCCCTAATAAACTGAAATGTCGTAACAATGGTGTTATATGCAAAAGGTTTCCTAAGAACCGCTTCGTTGGAGGACACCTGAGATCACCAGCTTACTGCCCTCGGCAGTCTCAATTGATAGCATACTTGCAAAGCTCGAGCTTAGGCTCGTGAAATGAGATTATGAAACGAGCTCAGACCTCATATGAGACAAGACGAGACGATACAAGCCGAGTCCCTGCCTTGGGCTCGTTTCGAATAGGCTAACGGGGGTACTAGATCCGCGCGGTCCGGCTCCAGAGTAGGGCGAAGATTACTGGAGGGCTGCTTTGCATGTTGTACTAATACGATTATGTCGACAGCGTGTACACACGGCCGGCAACATGCGGGAGAACGACAGCCGGAAGTGGAACCCTTAGGTGTGTGAAGCCTAGGTGTGAAGTACAAGATGTGCCTTATTATGACGGTGTCTCGGAGATAGGCGTTTTTTCAACGCGGCAGTTGGTGGATCTCCTTTGGGGGCTTTAGGTTTTGTTTTGCCTTGGTTTTCTGCATGGTGTAGCTCTTGATCTGTGAGCGGGGAATGGAAGCGAGCTTATTGTTATACCTACTCTGTGCGATGTTGAAGATTCGGGGTCGGGATTGGGCTCGGAGCTAGTTAGTCGGACTTGACGGTTGCAAGCCGCTCAACCCGCCAGTTGTAAACGTTCCTGAATGGTGCACTTCATCATCACCGAAACATTCACCTCTAGCCCATCCGAAAGGTCGACGAACTAGGCAACGCCTAGGATGAATTGTTTTGCGAACGGTCCACGTCTACGAATTGCCGACAAGCTGCCCACAAACCGCAGAAAAGCTGCTCACAGTCTGTCGAGAAGCTGTCCATAGGCTGTCGAAAAGGTACCCAGCAGCCAAACCGCACCACACCTAGCGACCTACCAACTCCATGTAGTCTGGGGAACGACAAATACAAGAGGAAGCATCATTGTAATATGGCCGCGATGATGACTGCTCTGTTGATATTGGATACGCCTACACACTGCTTGCAGGTGTGCCTGACTAACGAAAGTTCTAATAAAGGATTGTGTGTATAGCTATGACGCACCCCCCAGGCACCCCACTAACCATGAGGGGTGCTCGTCGCTAGGGTAGAGTGCGAAGTGGTAAGAAGAGCTCGTGATGTCGCGGACAATGGTATGCAATTGGCTCCCGACTATCCATTGACCGGTCCATGAGGAACAAAGAGACAATCGGGAAGTAGTTTTGAAAACGGGGGCATTGTTCAACGTTGTCTTGCGCGAAATTCTGGCCCTTTTCGTAGACTCGGGTAGTTGAATCGGTACTTCCATCCCGCCAGATTCTGGAGGCAGAAAGAAGCAAATAACTTTATATCCATTGGGATCTATGGGATCAGCTTTGCATAATATATATCAGCTCTTAGGCTCGTCCCCAACCCGTCTATCGTCCCTGGAAGTGTTGCTAAGTAGGGGATGGGTACGAGACTAATCAGCTCTATCTGTCATCAACCTGATAGATAGCTGATGATGGACACGAGACGAAAAGCCCCCCGACTAGTCAGCTGGTTTAGATGTTATAGGCTTGACTCTGGCCTGATACTTGGGAGTTATATTTGGTAGGACAGTTTCTGTTTTCTTTTTTTTTTCTTTTTTTTTTTTTAGCTTATCTTGTACCCAAGTTAAGCATAACCCCCCCCCCCAGGAAACTTCCTCATTGATATACGGTACAATATCTACCATCCAAGCTTCATTTGTCACTCATGTATCGCCTTAGGGCTTTCCTCGCGGCCTTTACCACAATACGTACGTGCAAGGCATAGATCAATCCATGGATAATGACCGATATCCCGCTATCAACTCTTCGAATATTCTCTAGGCACCGATTAATCGGTCAATGTGGTTCTTGGGCCGATTCTGTTCCTAAACACACAGACCTTTCTGGGCTGCATCGAGGAGCACCTTTCCAAACTCCGCTAGATAAACTTGGTGGGATTTTTATCAGTACGTATTATAACTAGCCTTTACCAAAACGAGATGTTCCTACCTATCTTGCTGGAGGCCCAGACTGCGGCTCTTGATGGTCGGTCCGGGACTATCGATTGGCTGTGTCTGCCGCGGGATAGTATATTGGCATGTAGTCTCGTGCCCATCCTTTAAGCAGCTCTGGCATAGCACAAACCAGGAGGAGATGATCACGGATCTAGTTGACATGTTGTGTGGCGCTATCCGTGTCAGTCATTGGGACGTTGTTAGGATACGATTGCACTGTTGTTAGTCGCCCTGCAGTTATAATTTGGACGTGGCCCCAAACAGTCTATACATGTTGTACTTTGTTTGTCCGAACACCTGTTCTTTCGTTGGCCTACAAGAGGAGCCTGCTCCTTCTGTCCTCCTTCTTCGCTCCAACTAGTCAACATATCCACCCGCCTACCCAAGGAGCGAATGAAAACGATAACCTGCCGATCTCACAGGACGGAAACGTATAACCAATATCTATTCCAATATCAAAGAGAAAACTAAAGACCCAAATAAACTTCTAACCTCCATATCCGCGCTAGGCCCCATCCACCGCCACAGAATCACTGAAAATCACTCGATTACCGTTTCCATCCTTTTTTCGCCCATAAGCCCTGATTGACAGAGGGTTGCGGTCTGATACCCCGCGCATGCAATTCACAGGGCGAACACACATCTTGTTAGCCGCCAGATCTACAGATAAACCACGAACGACGCTAGAGAGGTATCCAGCTGTCGAGATCCCTCGGCCCCATGCGCTGGCTACACACAACAAGCCAACTAATCAGCTCCCACACTATTTGACCAGTCCTCTCCGGATCCCTCCCGTATTCCGGTTCACACCAACCCACACAATCCCGACAAGCCCCCACATCCACAGCCAGATCGGCCCCCCTTCCAACTTACAACCCTAACCCACGACCACGTGGGCCAAACATGACATGTCCTGTTTTTTTTATCCATGGCAGTGGGGACTACAGTTACAGCACGCCAGGGTGCTCGCGTAGGCGGTAAATACTGGATCTCACGGTTTATGCATAGTCTACACGGCTCTCGAGTGGCCGCGGGGAATAGAGGGGGTGAGTGATGTGGTGTGAAGCTGGCACCGGTTTCTGGCGGCGGATGGTTTGTGGTTGATGGTATCATTGCCGCTCTTGCGGTACTTGTGAGAGGATGACGGTTAAAGGAGGATGAGGAGTTCGCGTCACATTTTTTGAGAACTCCGGGTGCGCACACCTGCTGCTGTAGATTTTTTTTTGTAAAATGCTATGTAGATGTAGCTCAGTGCTAGATACAATAGCCATAAATCCCATAAAAGAAATATCTGCAAGTCCCCAAATAAAACTCCGTAAAAGAAAACGAAAACGACGTTAAAAAGATAAAGGATTCGCAAGCAGTCTCAGGCTCCTAAAACCTCACTTTCCCGTCTACCGCAAAAAAAGAAAAAAAAGAATAAAAATCATTTCCCCCTGGCCTCCTGCTAATATTTAGACGTTAGAAATGGGTGTGAAGAAAAAAGTTATTACAGAATATGGACAAGTCTTCTCCCCTCCATCGCGACGAGGAAACAAGCGCAGTCATTCCTCTTGCTGCACAATTATAGAGCTCTTTTCACAAATAAAAAGAAAAGAAAAGAAAAACGTTAAACAAAAAAACTCCCACTAATTAGAGATGCAGCTCTCTAAATTGCTGCCGATGTAGTCGCGCTTTTATGTCGTCGTCGACACGTAAGGACTGAACCTCGCCCGGTGCTTTCTCGCCGGGACTCCACCCGACCCCTTGTGCCTCTCTCTCCTTACCCCCGTGGGCGAACGGACCCGAGGAGCATCGGCCGCTGCCGCCGCCTCTCTCCTTGCCTTCCTTTTCCTTTCCTTTTCCCTCTCCCCCACGGTATCCTCGCCATAAAATGACTCTGGTGTAAGCGGCTCAGCGGCCATACCCGGCGACAGCCCTCTCCCGCCCTCTCTTCTCGGCGATAATGACACGCCGCGCACAAACAGCGCTTCCTCCTCTTCTTGCTGCGCTTCGCAAATGGGCGAGATGCTGCCGCTGCCAACGGCGGCGCCGAGGAGTATGTTCGCAAGGCGGGCTACAGCGGCGCGTATGCGCTTAAGGTCTGCCTCGACCTCAGCGGGAGAGGCGCCCTGTGGGAGCGCTGAGAAGGGCCCGCTTTGGAACCAGTGGTCGATGTCGGATGAGGCGGGCGGGGTGGGGGGTTTGGCGGGTTTTGTGGTGGAGCGGCGGCGGCGGCGACGTTTATGAGGTTGTTGTGGGTTGGGGGTTGCGTTGGTTGTTGGGGTGGTGGTGCTGGTGGTGGTGGTGGGTTTTGTCATAGCTTTTTTTTTATTTTTGGTGGTTGTGGTTGTGGTTGTAGTTGTGAGGTGGAATAGGAAAAGGAAATTGTTGACTGGTTGTGGATGGGGTTTAGCCTTTGGGTGTTACGAGTGTGATGATTGACCTGCTTTATGAATAAGCGACGGCGGTGAGTGGGGGGGGGGGGGGGGGGGAAGAGAAGGGAGGGAGGGAGGGGGAGGGGGGAGGGGGGGGTTGGAACATACCAATGGGGAGGATCTATGATTGTTGTTTGCCTCGCGAGTGGGATTGTGGATTGAAGAGGGAGGAAGGGAGGGAAGGGAAGGGAAGGGAAGGGGTAGATAGGAAAGTAACTAGGTTATGTAGGTAATAAACGTAGACTCAGGCTCAGGCTCGGTTTAAGCTTGAGGCGAAGTAAAAGTCGATTCAAGAGTACTCGAAACCAAGAAAGAGAGCTATGTATGTACTGAAAAGAACAAGAAGAAGAAGAGGAGGAGGAAGAAGAAGAAGAAGAAGAAGAAGAAGAAGAAGAAGGTCCGTGATGCACGGAACTAGGACCCCCCCCTGTGTTGGAACAAAAATTAACGGGTGCAACAAACAAAAAAGTTTTTAGCAGCAGTAGTAGTAATAGTAGTAATAGTAGTCAACCCCAGCTGCCTTGTCCTGCCTGCCTGTCTGTCTGTGGCTTGGTTAAGTTGGTTGGTTGAGAGTTGAAAGTATTTTCAAGAAAAAGATTCACTGAAACAACCGGCCAGTCGAACGTTTTTTATTATTATTTGCGCTCTTTCTCCCTTTTAAAACAACGGGGGAGGGGGCCCAAAGAGTGACTGGCGGGGTTTGCCGTTTTTCCCTCTCTCTTTAAGCTACCCACAGCCCACCACCCACTGGTGCAAGGCCAAAGTTACCGCACTAGCTAGCAAGAAAAAACAATCTTGGAGAGATCTGGGGAGATGATCGGGTTATTGTTGTTCGTTGCGTTGCGTTGTGCTGTGTACACGTAATCGAGTGATTACCGATGACTCGGAGTGGGTGTGCGGCCGGTTGATTGCTGGTGAAGAAGCCTCAAAAAGATGGCAAAGGTTTTTTTTCCCCACAACTAGCTGCAGTTTAGATAGGTGTGTTTTTTAGAACTCTGATTTTTTTTTCCCTAAAGAAGATGGAGCTTTTAAAACAAAAAGATTAGAGGGGGGAGAGGGAGGGGTGGGCAGCCTTTATAACAACTGCGACTAATGTAATTTCTTATCTGCTGCCATTTTTTCCGGAGCGACCGATCCGAGCCGCCTCTGCTTACAGGTTTGAATTCGCTCTCCATTCGTGGTTGATACTGTACGTGCTGACTTGACCCTCACATCTTCACCTCACATCTTCACCTCAACGCTTCACCGTCACCATCACTTCTCCATCACGTGTGTGTGAGGTGAAAAGAAAAGAGGGCTTTCCAATACAGATCATACAAAGTCTCCTGATCTTTCCGCACCAATCATATTGTGATGTTGCTGGCTGGCTGGCCATGTGCAGTGCAGGCTGGGATTCTATGTAGTTGAACAACAAGCGACAATTATTTGAGGATCCTCCGCCATGGAAATCAGCGGCTTTTTTTTTCACAACTACTTTCGATCTCAACTCAACTCAAATGATTTTCTCGTTGTAATAGAGATGGGAGTCAGCCTCAATCGCACAGAGCCAGAGAGCCGCTTGATGCCACATCTTCACATCTTATAATTTCTGTATGCACATGGGGGGGGGGGGGGGGGCACAAGTATGATCCCTACTTACTTACCCAGATTCGATCCCCAAAGTGTCTCATGGCTCAAATTCATCGCAACCCCGTCCGCCCGTTCGATCCTTCTCTACCATGCCTTCTGGTGAACTTCAACCCTCCAAAAAAGGAAAGACCAGAAACATCGCTAAGATTCCACAACCAAGGGTTAGGGCTAGCAGCTCTGCTAATCTCGCCACCGGGCTCGAACCTTTCCTCAAAACCGCCGTATCGCTCTCAAATCTGACTCGTAAGTACAGATAGATGGTACCTCGCAGACATGGGAAATAGGCACTTTTGTCTAGCTCGGGGCGTTTGTACTGAAACCAGATCATAGACTATCACTCGCTTCGCCGATCACATGCTTGAAATGCCCCTTTGGGTGGGGAAGGGTTTTTTGGGTGCGTTTTTCTTTTTGGTTCTTTGTAGTCTAGATGGAGTTGTTATGAGTGAGCGGATGAGCCGAGGAACGATCAGATCCTGGATGAAACCTTAGGTAGTGTCCCAGGTACACACACTGTTGACTTATGTACTGGCTGGTTGGGCATTTTACCCAGAGCGCTTGTCAATCTGTAAAAAATACTCGGGAGTGTCGTCTAGAGTTGTTGGTTTCGGATTTGTATGCTTTGTTTCAGGGCGGGGGTAGGATAGACTCGAGAAAGTGCAGCCAGTACTCAAACGCGGGGTTTATATGTGTTTGAGGTGAGTATGAGTGTCCGTTTGAGACCGAACCTTTGTATTTCGGGCGGGCTCAAAGATGCGAATCGGTACCAGTGCCAGTACAGTATAGAAGCCGAGATGGGGCCTACGTGCCATCCTACGGCCCTACAGCAGCATCGGTAGCTGATACATCCTATGCTAGGCCTAGGGCGTCCGTTGTATATACATGTAGGTATAGCTACATGTATTTCCCTGGCGACGATGGTATACCTATCTTTTATTTGAAATGATATTTGAGCAGAAGAGAATTTATGAAGAGCCCGGTGTGTATAAGAACTAAAAGGAAGAAGGAAAGCAGGTCCCTCTTATAGTTAAAGTCAAAGAACAGCCGTGTTCTTCTAA